ACAACACAGTCCATGAGCATACGCAATAACCCAGAAGTTGCGCAAATAATCCGCAATTTGGTCAACCAGGTCTGGACCAACAATGGAAACGACAAGGATATTCAAAAGGCATGTCAATTGCAAAAATTGTAAGACGTGTCTAGCACGTATTTTTTCAGAGGCCTATTGAGTTGTTGGAGCTATTATTATTGTTGCTATTATTGTTGCTACTAGATTTCTATAGTTATTTCCAATTCTCAGAAATGTTCAAAACGATACAAAAAAAGACGTAAAAGCTAACTCAAAATATTTAGGTATTAGATAAGCAGATTTAAAAAAAATAATCGTTTAATGCGGTGTTATCGTAAATCTAATGCCAGCCTTATACAAAAATATCTATCGATTTCTTCTTTCTTTCAAATTCTTAGTTTTCCTGTTCTTTTTCTTGTTCTTTTTCTTTTTCTTGTTCTTTTTCTGTTTCTGTTTTGTTTCTGTTTCTGTTTCTTTTTCTTTGTCTTTGTATTTTTCTTTGTCTTTGTCTTTATCTTTGTCTTTGTCTTTTTCTGTTTCTTTTTCTTTTTCTTTTCTTTTTCTTTTCTTTTTTCTTTTTCTTGGTCTTTTTCTTGTTCTTTTTCTTTTTCTGTTTCTTTATCTTTGTCTTTTTCTGTTTCTTTTTCTGTGTCTTTTTCTTTTTCTTTGTCTTTGTCTTTATCTTTGTCTATTTCGTCTTTTTCTTATTTTTCTTATTGTGCTTCTTTTTCTTCGTTTTTTCTCTTTTTCTTCTTTTTTTTCTCTTTTTCTTCTTCTTTTTCTTTTTCTTCTTCTTTTTCTTTTTCTTCTTTTTCTTCTTCTTTTTCTTTTTCTTCTTTTTCTTCTTTTTCTTATTTTTCTTCTTTTTCTTCTTTTTCTTTTTCTGTTCTTGTTCTTTTCTTTTTCTTTTATTTTTCTTTTGTTTTTCGTTTCTTTTTCTTGTTCTTTTTCTTGTTCTTTTTCTTTTTCTGTTTTTGTTTCTTTATCTTTGTCTTTTTCTATTTCTTTTTCTGTGTATTTTTCTTTTTCTTTGTCTTTTTCTTTGTCTTTATCTTTATTTTTGTTTTCATCTTTGTCTTCTTCTTCTTCTTTGTTTTTCCTTCTTCTTCTTCTTCTTCTTCTTTGTTTTTTCCTTCTTCTTCTTCTTCTTCTTCTTTTTCTTCTTCTTCTTCTTTGTTTTTCTTTTTTCTTGTTTTGTTTTGTTTCTTCTTTTTCCTGTTTTTTATTTGTATTTTCTTTGCTTATTTTATTATGTTTTCCTTTCTCGACAACTGCGCGTCGAAGCAAGCGAATGAGTTCGCGTAGCTGTTTGCGGCCGCGTGTCAAATCTGCTTCATGTCTTGTTCTACCCACACAGAGGTAACCATGTCAAAACAAAAACCTGCGCTTCCTGGCAATTGAGGGGTTCGGTGTCATTTTGCTCGGATTTTTCCTCTGCATAGGGGGAGGGTTTGGATGGAATCCGATGTTTTAGGCCGTAGCCAAATCTATCCACATTGACATTATTTGGTGTCTACCAGGACCTTTAAAGTGACCGTCCGAGATCCCAGAATGAGGTCACTTAGTCCCGAATGAGGTCACTTGGAGACTCTAAAGAGGTCATTCTGAAGGTCCTGGTGTTTCATTCCATTTCTAGTAAGATTAAGCTCCTTTGTTTCTGGTGGCTATGCGCAAGCGACTCATGCTCTTCAAGGAGTGTTGTAAGTGAAGTATCGGAGTGCTCTTCTGAAGCTAGCCTGAGTCCGTATAAATACTATGTTGCTATACCTCTTATACACCTACATAAGTTCAAAGCACGAATGAGACTTCAAAGCTATGGATTGCTGTGCGT